CCCCAAAACCCCAAAACCCCAAAACCCCATATTTAAATTCTAAAATTGAGAAACAATAAAATTAAAAAATGCTTACAAAGTCTGAATACTCAACAAGTACCTCCTCTCTAAGCACAGTATTCAGCGGTTCTCTGGCAGAGCTAGGCTCTATCATGCAAGCCCAAAGCGTGAGCAAGCTGCCAGGAGACCAGAGCCAGAAGTCCGGAACTTTTAGACAAAGACTGAAGGATAGGATCAACAAGAATAAGGATCACCTGTTTAAGGTTCAGCAAGTCATTGAAGAAAGCAAACGTGAGATCCTTGAGCTCCAAGATCTCAAGAAATTGCTGTTCCATGGCGAAGTTGCTCCCCTCTCGACCTTCGTGGACCAGGTCAGTAACACCACTAATTCAGCTCTTCTCTCTCTGCAAAGGGAACTTGCACTGAAAGAGTGAGACTACGAATACGTGGTGTATGACAGGAATGTCATTTGACTGGATCATAAGTTCAAGAGTGAGGAGAACTCCTATCTGAAGCATCACTCCCAAGCAGCTAAGTTTTTCAAACACACCAAGTATGACACTGAAGAACAGAAATACAAGCAAGGCTGTAGGGATACTGAAAGGCTTCTTCAGAACTTAGACGGACTTAACCAATCTTGTAAGCATCAAATCAAACAAAAGAATCAGAAATTAAGGGAAATCAAATTGAGGATTAGGCAGAAGAATCAAGCGCTTTTGACAAAGCAGGAAGAATACTCCAGACTCACCCGACTAGCTGGGAAGGATTCATCCTCTCCAAAAATCACCCTGAGCCAGGTTAAGGAAGAATTGAGAATTTTGAGGAACGAGAAGATGACCCTTCAGGAATGCGAATATGACTGTCGAACTGAAGTAAAGAAGCTAGCCAAGTCTCTTAAGACCCTCAAGAATCGTGACCAAGTAGAAGCCAGCCAAGTCAAAGCTCTAGAGGAAGCTGTTGGCAAAGTGACTGAAAACTGACTAAACGAGATCAAGAAACACTCTGTTGTGGAAAATTCAGTGGTACGGCTCAAGACTTACCTCAAGAAGGAGAAGGAGACGAAGGACAAGTTCTTACTTGAGGTTAACCATAAGAAGAAGGTTGGCAACGACCGCTACCATGCTACTGAGTCTAAAACTATGAAGGCAATCGATTGGAACAAGATCGACAATGAAGATCCTACTTGTTTATCGACAACCCAGAAAATTTGGGAAGAAAGAAAATCAAAGGAACAAACAAAGCTGAAGAATAAGTCCGATGATACTGAGAGCCAAGTAGAGGTTAGCCTGATAAGCTTCGATCCTGACTGAGAGTTCTCTCAGTCAGAATGAAAGCTTCCATTTGGGACCTTATCCGAGGCATATAAGACTCCTTTGAAGGCTACAAGCCTTCAAGGGTCAAGCACCGGAACTCCGAATGCAAGCTCATATTCAAAAAGAAGCTTTAATGAGGCCAGAACTCCTGAATCTGAATTTATTGGTGAGTCTTACCTCAAGTGTTCGAAAATTCTAGAAGAGACAGAAGAAGAAAGCGTGGCAAATCTCACCCCGAGACTGGCAGGGGAGGGACGCCAAGAAGCTGGAGATCTTGATGGCATCAAAAACTCACTGTTTGTTACAAAAAGCGCGGAACAGGATTTTAGTAAGGATATGTTTACTACTAAAACAACTCTTGAAACTGAAGAATCCTCTCAAAACCAATATGAAATTGAATCCACCTCCACTTTTAATGGAAAAGAACAGAAGGAGAGCTTGCTGAATTTGAGTAATATCTCTTCCGATGGGATCATCAATGAAGAAAGATTTTGTAGCCCGATAAACGCAGGCAGGAGCTCAGTGCCTGCACTTAACTTCCCAAGGGGTAGAAACGCAGTTGCTTCACTTAACTCTTCTTGGATCAGCAGCACGAACGTCAGTGCTGTGGATTCAAAACTTGATAAAAGACTTAATGAGGCACCTAGTTTGAATTCTACTCTAAATTCGATTTTGAATTCTACTTACAAAGGATCAGGGTTGATACCCAATCATTACAAAAATCGTCTAAGCCATGGGAAGGTCAGCATCAATAAATTAACCAAAGGAGTAAATAAGCCGGCAGAAAGCTGCTCAAAAACTCCTTGTGCAAAAAGTAACAGAAAGGATTCACAAGACAGTGGGGGCTCGTGGAAGAGTAAGAAGCCGAGTGGGGATGGGTTCAAGCAAACTCATTGGAATTTTACCAAAAACCAAAGGGCATAAGTGCCCTTCCGGGCAAATTTGCATTAAATCATTCACTCAATGATAGTAATTCAAAGTAACTAATGTCGGGTTCGTGGAATAGATTTGGTTGTAGATAAAGCTATCGAGGTTGGTACGACCTAAATCCTCCAAAACTGCACTTCAAAGCATTGGAATGTCTTCAAGACATTCGTTATCACCTGTAAGGTTTTATCCAGCTGGTTTAGAGTGATTATCCCTCGTGAAAACTTCATTTTGGGTAGTATATTTCCCCCAAATATTTTTTAGGGGTTTTGGGGTTTTGGGGTTTTGGGGTTTTGGGGTTTTGGGG